CTATTCTAACTATTAAGGCCCCTTTTCTACAATATATCCCAAAACCCTATTCTAACTATTAAGGCCCCTTTTTTACAATATATCCCAAAACCCTATTCTAACTATTAAGGCTCCTTTTCTACAATATATCCCAAAACCCTATTCTAACTATTAAGGCCCCTAAACCCAAAACCCTAAACCCTAAACCCTAAACCCTATTCTAACTATTAAGGCCCCTTTTTTAACCCACGCCGGCCGCTGCTTCACCTGGTCGGACCAAGCTCTTGCGACTTCTGGCGGCGAAGGAGCCTGAACTTTCCTAGAGTTGAGGGGTTCCGGGTAACCATAAACCCTAAACCCTAATGGGGTTTAGGGTTTAGGGTTTAGGGGTTTTTAGGGTTTAGGGTTTAGGGTATTGGGGGGGGGGGCGGCTCAAATTTGAAGCCTCTTCAGAGTTGGGAGTTCGGAGTCGTGAGGGCCAGGGCCGAGTTCGCGTTCCCGCTTTCTGAAATGGCTTTCCAAAGAGCCCCCAAGCCCTAAAACCCTAAAACCCTAAACCCTAAAACCCTAAGACCCTAAAACCCTAAAGCCCTAAACACTAAACCCCTCAAACCCTTACCCCTAAACCCTAAAAGAGTCCCGAGACCTGAACCCTAAACCCTGAAAGAGTCCACGGCATTACAAGATGTACTTTCGTTTCTGGGGTGCCTGCGAGTGACTGACCTCCAATCCTGAAACCCCGCCCGGGTTAGGCTTTAGGGTTTAGGGGTTTAGGGTTTTAGGGGTTTAGGGGTTTAGGGTTTTAGGGGTTTAGGGGTTTCGGAGTTTAGGGGTTCAGGGGGTTCAGGGTTTAGGGTTTAGGCCTCATGGAATCCTCTACCATGTCCACCCATCATCAGGAACACAAGAGTGATCCTCGCACATGAAGGGATACTCCTGGAGCTTCACTTCTAGTTGCTGGTTACCGTACTCCTGAATGCTGGGGGCCCTGCGCAAAACCCTATACCCTAAACCCTTAACCCTGTTTCCGGAACTTCGGGCTACATGATAGTATTATGCATGTCACTGCTGTTTTGTGTAGTAATTGCTGGTTTCCCCTGTGGATAGACTAGGAAGGCATGTGTAGCCTGGGAGCCCCCTTTCGAAACAGCCATCAAGACTCGACTGTTGCAGAGAAGTATCTACTTTGAGTTGTTGCTACTTGGATCTACTGATTGAGTTAGGTGGCTGACAAAGTGCTCTTGATAACCCAGGCGACATAGACTGTGTGGTGGTTGCGAGTCTGAAGCCCTTATGCTGTCATTTGTGCATCTGGAATGAGTGTAGTTGGGCTTGATCGTGACTTGTAAGATCCGCCTGCAGTGTGTGGCCAAATTCGATGATGTGCGCAGCCTAGGGGAATGAGGATGTGAAGAGTCCAGCTTGTTTCTCTGTACGCAATCTGGTTTAGCTATGGAGTGGTGAGGGTGTTGTTTAAGCAGGCTGCTGCAGTGAGGAGTTTGCTTGCATGTTGACCTATTGTTGAGCCCCGCTCCGATAGGAGTTGCTTGAGCTGCTGTGGTATGTATTGTGATAGGTAAGGTTAGATAGCTGGGGGTCTCGAAGCAGCAAGCAACAGCCTCCGCCAAACTGGCATTCGACCTAACTAGCCAGGCAGGTGGCAACGAGGTGAAAAAAAACCCTAAACCGTAGACCTTAAACCCTAAACCCTAAACCCTAAACCCTAAACCCTAAACCCTAAACCCTGCCCAGCACTGTTTTTCAGGTGACTGGCGGAGCCAAAGCCCCTTGGGCTCAAGGCTTCGGAACCATGTGAGGGTAGAAAGACGGGATGGCGGGTTTGAGGTTGGGTTTAGGGCTTAGGGTTTAGGGTTTAGGGTTTAGGGTTTAGGGTTTAGGGCTTATTTTTTGGGGCTTTAACAACTGCCTATGCTACTGTGGGGGGGGGCTGCTTATTCTAATTTTATACTATAATGGGCCCCAAAACTAATTATTAAGGCCCCTACATTTGGGTTTCGGGCTTGGCTTGCTAAAACCACCTTGCCCATTGGACCAGGAATCTGTAAAGAAATGGTTGTAACTTCTCTAACGATACGGGAAGCATGGGTTTAGGGTTTTAGGGGGTTGAGGGTTTAGGGTTTATGGTTTAGGGTTTAGGGTTTACGGTTTTAGGGGTTTAGGGGGTTTAGGGGGTTGAGGGGTTCAGGGTTCAGGGTTTAGTGCTCCTGGAGTGAAGACCCATCCGGCCGAGTGGCTTCCTATGCCCGAAACCGCCCAAACCCTCAGCTCTAAACCCTCTACACCTGTTCTCCATGCTCGAAGAACAAGCTGACAATACCTCTATCGCAGCACCCTATTCCGATCATTCCGGCCCCTATCTTACGCGTGACGCACTGTAACCCCGAGCCCCTCCACTTAAAAGCAGCTGAGATGCCGAAGCATTGGTCGCAGCTTCCGAAGGCCAGGGAAATATTGTCTTTCATGCGCGGTCGTTGCTTTTTAAGGTTTTGCAGTTTAGGGATTTAGGCTTTAGGTCGTGTTCAAGGTTTTAGAGACCGAGGTTCCGGGTTTCGGATTGCCGGATCAAGAGCAGTATTGGTTGGGGGCTTGTTTTTTCAGGCTTCTGAGGTCAAAGAGACCCTAAACCCCAAACCCCAAACCCTAGCCTGGATGATGTGGGGCTGAAGGTCGTTACGTTTAGGGCTGTTTGGGGTCCCGCATGGACCAGAACGCCCCAAGAAATCTCGGCTCCTGCACCTCAGCTTCCCGCACGCCATAAGAACATTGATAGGTATACGAAAAATAGAAGAATGACGGCTAATATTATTGACTTGAATAACAGCTAATATTATTGACTTGAATAACAGCTAATACTATTGACTTGAATATTGAGCTTTCATAAGAAAGAAGAAAGATGACACCAGCAACAACACCAATAGCAATCGCGCCACAAACAGCAAGTATCCATGAGGAACAAGGCGAATGACCACAACAGTTCCAACAACAATGGTGATAACCACGATGATAATTTTCAGAGGTAGTCGATATAATACAAATGTTAGAAATATAAACATAGTCATAGTACAAGTAATGAAGATACTACAGAAACACAACACACACATTGGCAAGGCGTAGGGAAGAAGCAACACTCAGAGGACAAACGGACGCAGAGCTCATAAACAAGTGGAGGGTTTAGGAACATGAGCCTGTGAACTGGTATGTACTGATGTTTCGCACTTGCAGTTTCCATACTTCTGGGTCGTATTGTTGTAACTATTGTTTTTTCTCCTGATTCGGCCCCTGTCTTTGTTTTTGAACCTCCGATGCTTTTTTCCGCGTGTTTTGGATCAACCACCTTTCGTCGCTCCTTGCCAACCTTTTTGCACTGAGAGGTTATGGTGCTGCTTTACGGTTCTGGATTTGGACTATGCGTCCAGGTTGCTTAAAAATTGGGTTTGGGGGCTTAGGGCTTAACCCCACCCCTGTGCCCTGCGGTCCCACGGTTCGTCCTGGCCGTAAGCACAGGATGCAGCCTTCTTCTGCCGTGGCCCGGTGATTCCCGAAGACAGGACTGCTTGGGTGCTTAAAGGTTCATGGGACTTAGCAACTAGGGTTATAAATAAGGGAACTATACTTATAAATACTTATAACCCCAATTAAGGTACTTATAACTGTACTTATTAAGTCCAATGTTCCGTCTGGCTGTTTGGGTCTCGGCAGGCAAAGTAAAAGGTTAGAGACTCAGGGGGTTTAGGGTGCCAGAGAGTCCTAGTTAATGTGGGGGCCTTAATAATTCGAATAGGGCTTTGGGGGTTCCTTATTACAATTATATAGTATAATATACCCCAAACCCTATTTTAAATATTGAGGCGCTTATATCAGGCATGAGCGCTTCTTTGGGGCATTCGAAGCATCACGCAGCATGATTCAGGCGACACGATTTGCAAGGAGCTTCAAATAGTCTGGAATAAATCAGCTACAGAAAGTCTGCATTGTTGTGGCCGATGATGCTTGGCCATCATCAAGCTGGTCATGGTGATGATCTTGGTGATGAGGGTCGAATACAACCCTAAACCCGAAACCCATGACAAGGATTTTTTCACGCACCGGGTGGCTCGCATAGGGTGCCTGCTGGAACCCTGAAGCCCGAAACCCCAAACCCGAAACCTTAGCGCAGAATCAGACCATGGGTTGAATAATGACACAAACCACAAAGCCCGAAGCTACAACAACCTGTCAGCTTAGACGCTGAGGGTTGAGAGCTGTGGAAGCTTCACAAGGCCCCACACATTTGCGACTACTATGACTACAACTGCAAGGTTTATTAGGTTGTATCAATAGTAGTACTATTGCTAAC